CGGGTCCCATAGGAATTCAAATGTGCCTATCCACCAGAGATCACATTCTTTTCTTAAATATGTCAATTAGAGCGCGCTTGATCGCGGGACTCAACTTTATTACTCGCATAATTTCTGATCGACGAACACAAAGCTTGTTGATAAGTTCCTGTACCCAATCAGTTGCAGTCACGAGTACATTTAAGGTAGCACCGTACCCAAAGAACCTTGCTATGACTCGGATAATCACAGATAATCGCAGATAGATAATGAGTCAGAAATCATAAATTGATCTGATTTAGGTAAAACTTCACCCAAAAATCTCTCAAAAATTGAGCTGTAACTTGTTTTAATGTATTTTGTTTCAACCTCAGAAAAAGAGAAAGACGAATACACATAAGATGCAACAATTTAAGAAACATATTTGAAATTATTCTGTATTTTCATGGTACCAAAGTGATGCTCATTAGTAAACTGACTGATTTTGATTACATCCAAACTGCAAAAGCAGCAAATAAAAAGTGAAATATTCAGCCACAATTGTTATAAACTCATCAATTCGGTAATGATTGAGCAATGTTGAACTCAAATATTTTCATTACTTTCTTGTTTATAGCACTTAAAATGGATCTTAAAACATTTGAATTCAGCCATAAGTTCATAAATACCAGTAATAATCCCCCATACTGCGAAGAGAAATGCATGATTTCATTTTTACAAAGCTTGAAACAATGACAACAGCCTGTCATACTGTAGCAGGCATACTGTAGCGCAAAGTTACCAATACCGCTTTCAGGGCGTAACAATAAGCAAAAAATAATGATTAAATCACAACTTGTGTAGTCTTCTTACGGTAAACTGAGATTCTTTTTTATATGTTTATCATCGAAAAATAGCTTTAAATTTTGGAATGTGAAAATTCAACGATTTAGTTACTTTTCAGCGAAGAATTTCCTATCGATATTGTACTTGGACTGGACAAAATATCACAAATCTACAAGATTATCATCGAAACTGACGAGCAGTACACACGTACGAATTTTTTCTCTTTATAAGAGTTTATACTATCAACAACTCAAGCATTCATGGATTTTAGCCTCAAAAGTGGAAGTATGCATGGGACTCGGAGATGATACTCTCGACAGAAATTACAAGAATGCACGAATGGCGGAGTTCAGTGAGATCGTAGAGCTGGAGTTCGATGGTGGTCAGAGGATTGCCAATAGAATGGAATTGAGGTAGGGAATTATTATTACGATTCTATTAAGGAAGTTATAATGTCATGAGCAATGGCGCCGATATTAACAAGGTGTCTAAGGAGAGGGAAAAAGTTACGGGGATTAGTATGTAAAAACGAAAGTGCTCGTACATTTCATATACTCGAATTTTTTCAAAGATATCTCACAACTAATCACACAAAATCCTAAGGCACGAATTGCGCAGTCTTTTGTGTAATTTCACCAAATTAACAGTCTACA